AAGTTAACAAAAAGAGGCGACACTTTGGTGATAAATTCCAACTTCAGTATAGTCAGTGTTTTCAATAATTAGCAAATGCTAATCTGCTAGCACGACAAGCTAAAATAGCTAATAGTTATTGGATATGATCGCTTTTTAACCTTTAATCTCTAACTATAGTCTTTTCACTTGCAATAACACACTGGATACTACATGTCATTATGTGTTTGAACGAGTTAAAGTATAAAAAGTGTCTGCAAGAGCCAGATATCCAGCAAACTCATGTCCAAACAGAATGGGTCTTTATTCAGGAAGTGAAAGAAAGAAAAAGAGATTGTAATCAACACCCCATTTAAATACAAAAACAAAAATAAAAATAAACATGATATTCATTTTGCATATCAAAGAACCATTCAGTAATAATTACAATCCAAACATCTCATAAACGACTTTTGTGAAGCTATACACACAAACTCTGATTTAGAAATTAGTCACTTTAACAATAAAATTACAAATATTTAGCTTTAAAAATAATTAAACTCAAAATAATATTTTAGCAATTAGCATCTTTAAATTATATATAGTGTTTTTCACATAAAAATACAAAATAATACCAATGACATTTAAATATGAAAAATTATTCCAAGAACCTGCTACTATCAAATAAAAGAAAATGTGGGAAAAAACAAGATGAAAAGAAATAGAAATATGCATGAAAAAGTCTCTCCTTTTGTTAGCAAAACACTATCCAAAATAACTACAATCATTTACATCAGTACAAAGATATCTGGATTTAAAAATACTTGCAATGAAAAAACGGGGTATCTTTTTCTGACAGTAAAAAATGACACTGTGGATCAGAAATTTGCAAAATATGCAATGAAAAAAATAAATCTGCATTAAAAAGGTTTACACTGTAGTTCTTACTTTTATACAAACATTAGAAACAGTATTGCACATCACAACACAGATTCGAGGTTAGTCAGCCTTTCAAAATGTGTTATATTCAAGTTTCAGAGCATCTACGAGGACAGGCAGCTGGGGCCTCGATGCAACAGGGGAGAATCTCAAGTGTCTTCCCAGAATATAATAAAACCTTCATGTTTCCTTCCATTAAATCAAACGTGTCATGTGTATCAAAATAAGAATCAGCTGTATATCAAAAACTTTGATGTTACTAATGATGTGATTCTTTGTCAACCAAAACTTTTGGACATAATTAGGGGTAAATAAAATCGAAATATCAGTCCTATTTAAATAGAAAAATACAATCAAAATCAACTCAGTTTTTCGTCTACAAAAATAGTGAAATAAATATGATTTTTACAAAAGCAAGGACACATACAGAACCAAGTAACAGTGTTTAACATAGAAAATAGAAGCTCACAAAAACAGCACGAGTCAAGTGTTACAGGTGACGATATTCAAACATTATCAGACGCCATGAGAACCAAAGCCACGAGGAGGAAGAGGGGCCAGAGCGGGAGCCCGGTCTTTAGCTTTCACCTCCCATCAGGTTGCAGGCCGCGACGCCTTTCCGACTCCCGCTCCTCGTAACACCCGGACCATTTTAGAATATATTAGAAAACATTTGCTTTTTGCTCTACTCACACAAAACATAGCTAACTTAAGACCACTGCTCCACGCTACACTTTAAATAAGTCATTATGGGGAAAAAATATGATAAATTCTACCTATAAATAGGTGAAAACTTTCATAATTCGCTTCTAAACACAAGGGGTGAAGGAGACGGAAAACGAGCAGGGATACAGAAAAGTAGTGCATAATGTATATTATATATTAAAAAAAACAACAAAACAACATATTGAAGGGCCAGTGATGAGTAAATTGTTCACACAAACAATTTCAATTACACAACTCAACTAGTCTCAGTTCCATTAAGGTTTTGTAACAGTACACAGTTGACGCCTGAACACTGATACCGAGGAGCACACACACAGGGGCATGAGACACTAAAACCACAACAACACGAGAGCGACACACTTGTACAGTACCAAACAGACCGCTGGGCGACCGTCCTCACAAAAAAGATTGTCCCTAAAGAGTTTTTCAAGGGTCGAGGAGGAAATTAAACAAACAATAAAAAGAAAAAGATCATCTTTAGCGAAGACCACGCGTCACTGTCTTCATCGTGGACAAGTGTGGTGAGGAGATGTGGAGATGCTTCATCTTCCGGTAACTGCGTCAGTGTTTCCTTGGATTTATGGAGCTGCAGCCACACAGCATGGAAGCCTGACTGTTACATTACAAAATAAGCAGTTTAGTGTGTTTGAACAATGCTCAATAACACGGAGCACGCCAAACTGACAAAGTCTTTCATTTGCGTCTGGTCTGCTGGTGAAGCTACACCAGATTAGCCTTTGGAACCACACAAAGATATGGATAGGAAGAGTGAAGGTGGAGTCATTCTTCTCTACGAAATCTGTTGATAGCTAAACTAGAGCCTCAGTCTACACTAACAACAGTCACACAGCACATGGACGACACACAAACACAAACCACTGAACACCACTCTGCTTCTCAATGGCATTTTTTTGTTGTTTTTTTTTTTGCTATACAAGCCACCACGTGACAACGTGATGGCATCCACTAAGTCTACAGTAGAACCAATATCACTTTTTGTATTGTTAGTATGTAAACAGATCAAACAACAGAGAAACATCAAAGCATGCAAGTTTAAATATGTTTTTTTAACTCATTTATCTTAGTCTGATTTTTTTTCCCCTCTTAGGCATTTGTACTTGATGATCATGCTACTCATTATAGAATTGTTACGTCTTGTCTGCATTTATTATTTCAGTGGTTTGTTTTTTCCTGACATATATCCAGCATGCTATTTGTGTAGCTAAGCCTATTGTCATTATATGCACTCTTAAATCTTTCTATGGCAATGGGGGCCAGAAGTGTTCGAGTGCATACTGCATTTCGTTTTACATGATTCAGGTTTATAAATGGCATTAAATATAATACCTACACATCTATTCATATATATGTATATATAGCAGCAAAGCTTCTGAAATAGCTCGGTCA